TAACCTACTGATTTCTGATGTTATGCTAAACACCACGAGAGTTCAAACCAAGAAGTTAAATTTTTGATGCTTTTTTTTAGTAACATGTTACCTAATCACTGTTGGAAACAACTCTGTTGTGAATAGATATATCAATTCAAATTCAGCAGTCATTAAACACTTTCCAGCAATWGCAAGCGCTGTMCCAACTCTTGGGAAACCTGAAAAGATCAAGTTATTTACTTTACATTGTAACTTATTTATTACTTATTAACTTTATTGATTTTTGGAAGGCCGACAGGATGTGCCTTCATAGATAACATAATCCAATCATCTCACCTTCCTGAACAAAGGGTAATACAATGAGAACTGCTCCACAAAGGGCCATGATGGTACTATAGGTAATACGACGCCCAAAACTGAAATCAAAAATATCAATATCAAAACAGTAAATACATCCTCTGGTTTTAGTGATGTACTATGACGATACGGCCGCCATTATGTCAGAGGGAGCAATCGTGAAAACCTTTCTTTTTTATGTTGCTTTTGGTGTCTGCAAGGCATGCAGGGTATATCACAAACCAATTTAAGACGCATGCGACATCCTCTTACTGCAATTTGTGTTGATGTTGGAAGTCCCACAGTCGGAAGTCATCCCTCATTGTTTCCCGCGCCTGTCTTACAGAACACCGAGAGTTTCGTCGAACTATTTCGAGAATTCGACTGGTCCACCTTCGGAATTTTGATAGATGGAGTCTATGCTAAAACATGTTTAGTCTTCGAACGTTGGTTTTCACTGGTGACATTTAGGTAGRATTGGACGGGAGAAAAACTAGTTCTCAAGTCCTCTTCCCCAAAAGGATGTATACCAAAGTTACGTTCATATCATAAGCTTACCGATCAATAGACAGCCACATCAAAGCTAGTGCAGGTATATCAGTAAGATTCATAATTCCGGTGTTGATGTAWACGTTGCCAAACAGCCTGGTTACGTACAGATACATAGCAAAGAACACCAAAGATACAACAAACCTGCAGGGTAAAAAAAATCATGAAACACTGTACACGCGYTCTCATGAATGGCTGAGAAAGAGAAAATGGAAACAGGCTAAGCTAGTACATGTAAATGGGAAGAATAAGAAACGAGTGGGGGCCTACCATTCCTGAAATGTTCGTTTATGAATATTTGTCATAGAGTCTACGCAACTCATACCGTGAAACATTACCGTGAAACATAATCTGAAATAAGCTATCAAAGTCTCTTGTGTATTGCTTTTTGCTTCCATGAATTGTTCTGGTTCAGTGATATCTACTATTAGTCAGTAAATAGACACTAATAGTTACTGTTTATTGATTATATTTCAAAGTACAAGTGCGTTGACTCTGTTTGGAGAATTTGACTTGCTAATCAAAAACAACTTCTTGGCAGAGGAAAGTCAGTGATGATGAAAGTTATGAAAGAAGCTGGACAAGAAAAGTTTTGACAGGATCAAAACAGTTAAAGATGCTTCATTAAAAGCCACGAACGACGAAAATGGTAAGGTAATATTATGGTCTGTTCACTTACCAGTTAAAACAAACGACCAATGTGAACTTACGCAGTCTTGGTGTCCTGAACATGTCAATCACGTGATAAGTTTKTCGATTGAGCCGAGCGAGTTGGTTTTCTCTGACCTTTTCCAGTGTTGACCTTAGTTGCAGCCTGTCCAAAGTCTTCTTGCGCTTTGCTCCGAATTTCACGAGGACAGCTTCYGCTTCGTCCAGTTGACCATGAGCGACGAGCCAGCGGGGAGATTCAGGGATGATTCTTTTAAACGAATCATCAACATTATGATTAATAAAAAGATAATATAGGAATGTAGATAAACACAGCAAACTGAATTATCAAATTAAATGATGTTCATAAGGCATTTACAGCTGGATGAAGTTACTTCTTTTTTTGCAAAATGTCAAGAATAAAGCTCGAACTCTGGTTTCCAGAATCGGATCTGGAGGCCTTTTACATAGCAGAAACGAAAGAGACTGGTCGATGTTCACTTTATCAAGATTTGCAGGCGCTAGTCGGTCATAAAACCATGCTTTTTACCCGAAAATGACTCGTCTTAATCGCTCCTGCGAACTTTTTGACAGCCCCGGCGTATCTCGTAAATACCATGCCTAATTATGCAAGCGGTCTCACAATTTTCATAAAAACCAGCCCATTAAGATTATGACCTTCGACGGAAGGTTCAGTTTTAATGGTTTCATTTTTAATTAGCCTAGTGCAGGTTAGATCCTTGTAATTATTACTTACTTATAAAGAGGAAGAAGAAGAAATCCCCATACTCCGGCAAAAATCACCAGATGTCTCCAGTATGAGAATAACCAGACAAGAAATATAAGAAATGCTCCCCCWATCTTCCAGACAATAACCTTTGCYACAGTTGCCATAGTTCTCTTTTTAGGACCGACYAACTCAACAGTAAACGTATGGTTTATCACCAAGAGCGCAACACAACTAAAACCAGCTAGAACTTGCAGAATRCACAACACGATAGGTGAGCTTACAAAGGAAGTCCCAAGATAGTTAGATGACTGAAATGCAATAAAAACTGGTGAAAATGATAAAATAATGTTAGTGAAGATGTTGTTGATTCTACACTTTTTCTCACAAATGAAGAAAATAAGAAAATTTGTCTGGAAATTGATTTGTTGCTGTTGTTGCTGTTAGTAGAGGTAAGTTTTTTTTCGTAGCGCATTTTCAGCAACCAGCATTCAATGTCACCACACTACACTCCGCCACTCCCCTCACTTTTCCATAATGGTCGAGTTTCTAGTTGACCTTAACACATTTTGCTTACCATGATGAAAAGACTTCCAAAAATACATTTTTTCCTTCCAAACTTGTCTGACATCCATCCACCAGCAAGCGAGCCAAGAAGCATTCCCCAGAAGAGAGTGGACTGTATTAGAGCGCTAATATATGCTCGGTCACAAATAAGATTCCACTGAAAAATAAAGTTAACCTTGCTATAATATGTCGTATATATGTTGTAATTATCACTATGGCAAACGTTGGTTGAAACTTTTCTTGGCAGATTTATGGATCTGTCACTTGAAAAGTTGATTAGGTCTGACAGAGTTTGCAAATAATGTGTAAATATACTGTAAATTCAATTGACAGACAAAATGTCCTTTTACAAAGTTTGTAAATTTTGTGTGCATTCTGTAAATATCTTGTAAATTTTTGCTCGATCAAACATTTTAAATATCTTATAAAATCAAATTAAAAAATAATAATTTAAGAAAAATTCAAATTTAAATCAWATTGTAAAATTGTCTGTAGATTTAATCATATTATTTTCCCAATAAAGTTTTTCTGACAACCCCTATTCTAATGCTGATGAATAGAATAAGAAGATACAAAAAATTGAAGAAGAAAATGAACAAATAGAAATAATTAAGACWTARAAAACCATTCTAGCTTAATTAGTATTCCAACAGTCTCCYTCTCGGTTGCCTGCGACATTTCGAGGGTGACAATGGTGCCTTACCTCTGAGACTGCGCTGAAGTCCTCCTCAAAGAAGTACAACGAGCAATTTTCACAGCACTTGCTGGCCGCGCATGTCACATTGGGTGTCACACATTGAAACTTCTGAGATCCAAATGCAAAGATAAGGCACATGAATTGCAACATGGTAGGAACAGATGTGAATGACATCGTCCAGTATACAAATTGCTGGTAGCGACCAAACGATTTAAGTTGCTTGAAAACGTCGTCAAATTCGGCAAACTTGGATGTCTCTTCTGGGCTGTCTTTATCCATTGTAGCCATCTCTTGTTAATTATATGCACTAAAGAAGAACAATAAAACAATTGTGATACACGGTGTAAGATTTATCGATCGCTCTACCTCAGCTTGAAATGTAACAGGACATTTTGTGCAGTCTAGCCAGCGTAATCTAAGAAGTAGTAGAATTAGCCAGGTTATGTTATCGTAACTGCCATCATGTCAGGATGTCAACATGTCATTATTTTATATTGTGTTCCTCAGTTCGATGTTTTCCACACGGCTTCAGTGTTTATGCAAAATTATGCTATTGTATATTAAAGAGGTTGATTTTTTTTGGAATGATTTTCGCTAATTTTTAGATTTAAATTTGTGGTAAAAAAAATTGCACACGGGTTTTGCACGTGGGTCCACTTGATTGAGCATTTTATAATGTGAACGCTCGAAAAATCAAATCTATTCATATTGATATATAGATAAAAATAAGGTTTGATTAGGTAACAATCGCTGTGTAATTGGTTTTTGAAAATATTTCATTTTTCGCAAGAAAATCACTAAACAATGTCACATACTAAGCCTTTGCGTGACAAATGCTTGATTGCTAAAAATAGCACTCAAAATAGCCAAACTTTCTACCGAGCTCGTGTGAAAAGTAAAATAGTTATTTTCAAAATTGTAATTGTTTAATYTAATTGCTTTCTAAGTAACTTGATTTTCAGAGCATTTAATTAAAAAAGAAAATTTTCTGGATCTCGTAGTGTTTACATATGTAGTTATATATGCAAATCATTAAAAAAACGATTAATTTTTTTTTTAATGCAAATATTCAAGTGGTGTTTCAAACGATTATATTATCACCAGAAGAAGTCATTTCTATGCWACTGAGAGTGATTTCCCCAGATTAATCTTTATATATTTGCAAAACTCATCTCTTGCTTCCGAATTTTATTGACTTTATTGCAAACAAAAATACTAGCACATAAAAAAATTGATCATTATTTTAATAAGGTACTAATTTGCATATGAAAATACACATGCAAATAGTTCAAAGAAAAATTCCTTTTTATTTAAATAGTSTGAAAATCACTGAAATAAATAAAMARGAATTACTAAGAAAGCCTCAGTTTAAATTTTGAAATAGCTCTATGATRTTTTCGTGAACTAGGTATAAAGTTTGGTGACTTTGAGAGCTATTTTTAGCAATAAGGGTTTGTCATGCAAAGGCCACGTATGTGACATTATTTAGCGATTTTCTTGCGAAAAATGAAATCATATAATCAGTACATGCTTTATCGATATAAAAAATATGAAAACATATGATTTTTTTGGACCTTGCCAAAAAATTTCAATTTTGTCTGGTTTTTGCGCGAAGCGGCTCCTAAATAGCTTTATAGCAATACTCTCTTGTACAGGATAATTACATAAATTATAAAAAAATTTGTATTGATACATATTTATGAAAAATTGATCACCAACAATAATCCAGTTTCGAATTCTCTTTAGTGCCAGCTTATATGAGCTTCAATCAAGCATAAATTTTTATTTTCTCCTTTGCACACAGAGTGTTTGCATTTCAATAGGATCTCTGCTTTTAAGGGTTGAGGTTGCACAAATAAGATCTCGAAACTGGAGTTTTGGGTGTTGCTTACCACTTGGAAGAATTTGTTAAAATACACCTGCTGTACTGATTCTCAAAATACGCTTTCAAACTCATCTTAGAATGACTGCTTACATTTTTACGCATGTGATCTAGAATCCCATATCACTAGCGCGCTGATTGGTCATGTAACGTACATAGTGAAGGATTCAGCGCGGAATCCAACGCTTTCAAACTGAATTTAATGAAAAATCAGGGATCCCGCCCGATTGAATTTTGATTATGTCGTAATTTTTTTCATTTCTTTTTGACAAATAACAATTTAAAGTAACAAGAATAAAAACTCTTTTTTAGACAATAGAAAATGGTTAGTTTCTGTTTTTTCGTCCGTTGTGTCTGTTGCTTTGTAGATTACCTTTGAAGTTCGGCATTCATCGTCAAGAGGGCAAGACGCTTTATTTCTTGCAGTTACAARTAGGGATTACTTCATCTCGGTCGGTGACGTGTTGTTTATTTAATTCCTTATTATGTTTATCAATTATGTTCTTGAAGTTACCCTTGCGGTCTTGTGCTTCACTAATCTGCTCTCGAATTCTCCCTAACAAACGCCTCGGTTTTCATAGCGCTATGAAGGCACGGAAAAAATGTTTTATTTCTTCATTATATTACATTGACGGTTAGGTTTTTTACATGGTCGCTTGGAGATATGCATTTTATCTTATCGTGTTGAAAACCTTTCCCTCTTCGCGTATCCGCGCATCCATGTAATGCCCTGTCTTTCTCAATTTTCAAAAATAGCTAGCCCAACTTCACGCTCTAAGAGCGTCTGTTTTGGAAAATAGACAAATAATAACATGTACGAGGTACGAGAATGGAAAAAAGCAAGGGGAAAATAATGTGCGCCTCCCCAAATCTTTTGCCTCTCTTATGTTTTCTCGTGAGGAAGCGCGTTTCAAGGGGCTCCTTATTTTAAACTGCACCTGTGTTTCAAAGAGTATAATGAAAAAAAAAATCACCTTAAATCAAACTAGAGACAGCGAAGACAACGCTTAAAAACTTTCATTTAGGAATAACTTTCAATTTTATATTCATATAATTATCAGTCGCTTGCGTCGTAGCAGAGTAAAGGAATCGAGTTACCATCGGCTTCAACACGACCGTGTATGGTAGGGAGCTGGAACTGAACACTTGCTCTGTATAGCCTTTCACTTCAACGTGGAATGTCTGTCTAGAGCAGTTATTGAACAATTCAATTGCGAAAGTAATATCTGAATAACTACGTGTTACTTTAAATAAACAGTTCTTGTATAAATTTTCGATTTTAACTCGATTTGAATTGAATATCCTAGTTTTCATTCTTTGAATTAAAGTCTGTGTTGAATTGCCAGGTCTTCGATCACATACACAGAGCTTGATATCGACTGACTTGTCCGCACAACCTTTGAATTTATTGTACATTGTTATTCGCTCAAAAGACTGCAGTCTTGCGCCTTTTATATCTGAAGTTTCCACGGCAACTTTAATGACCTCATCTTGGGTGATTCCCACGTGACTTGCATTAAGGTGAAGGTCAAAAGTCGTCTGAGATCCTGTCTGAATAATATTCCTGAACGAGCTGCCAATCAAACGCTTGCAGTTGCTGTTTCTTCCTGAAGACGCTCCTTAAATTTGATTCAAAATTCAGGTCATTCAAATGTAGTATTTTACTTACATTACTGAACAGCCATTGGTAAAAAATAGCTTTTTAAAGAGATCGGTTAGCGCGAAACGCCGATTGTGTGACGGAAAGGTGTATGTCACGGAACTGAGATTCTACGCGGAAAAAAATTCGGTAACCTCTTTTTATAGACACTAATGATGTTGGTCGGACCAACAGTAATAACGTCTGCAGAACAGGCTACATAAGCGGGATAGGGAGGAAGACTGAGAACTGATGTAACACAGTCTACGACTACCTAGTTTCGCTCACAGCCGCAACTTCTGGTTTCTACAAATTTCCTCCTCTTCTTTTAGGAGGGACAGAAAGCCCGACTAGAGGACAGACTGCAAAGGAGACTAACGATGACCATACCTTTATAAAACTGTTTCTGTATTTCATTATTAAGTTGTCCCACTGCAAACTCAGCCATCCATAAGTACTTCGGTGAGTTGTCCTCGTACTTAGCCTCTTTTTCATAACATTGACATTTCGCCAACGGCATTAACGGCACATCCCTGCACATACGGTCAGCCTTTCCATTTCCTTCCAGCAGGCCAGTTTTGTTAACATCGTGGAACGTCATTAATGTATGGTGGAGATCAAGCGCTGTTATTAGACGAGTCTGGCTCTGTTCTAAGGCTTTCATGCTTGTTTTACCAAATTCCTAAGGATAAGGCCATTAACAAACTGAAAGTTTTTGTTTACATTTCAAATGTAACATAGAATCTTGAAAATTCACATGAAAAAAAGGCCGTTATTCATTTTCAGTACCCTGGTCCCGCAAAATTACTATCAAATGATTTCAAACTGCATGATAACATAAACTCCGAGAACTGACATAACCTTGTTAGTGGAACCTTTCAATCTGGAAAAAATCGCGCACTTTGAAAGGTTGTAAATTTGATGTGAATATTATGTAAGTGTCCAAAATGATGTAAATTTACATCRAATTTACATCATTTGAAAGTGCGCGATTTTTTTCCAGTGTATTAGAGCACTATTGATACCTGGGCGACATTCTGTGGCACAATCATGAACAAGAGTGGGTTAGTGGCTTCGTACTGTCCATCTTCAGTATAGAGGGCATACTTTGTTACTTTATGTCCGTGGTCGGCGAGTAGAATTGTCCATGTCCACGGATCTCTTGAAAAAACAACACTATTACAACACTGCTTTATACACCCATGCAATCACAAAGTAAAAAATAAGCTTAAGTTATTTGGCGGTATGTATTTTTAATGCCACTAAAATAGACCCTTTATCGACGACCGTCCGATCCATATCGGTTGACTAGTCACGAAGCGTGGAAACGAGACCTCCAAGACCTTGCATCTAAAAAAAACATCACGGAGATCTCAAGTATGGCAGTTTAGCATGTTATTCATGGCAAAACACTCTTGCAAAACATCATGGAAATTTGCTATACAGGCTGACCTTCGCTTTTAAAAGTGCTTCGTCCCCAGTGCCCTGGTCGACGACCGTGACATATCGCGCCATTTTTGTTAGGTTGCCTCCTATTTCAGCTGTTACTTTGTGGAAATTTAAAGAATTATGTTATTTTGTTATGTAGGACTATCTAGCAAGGCGTCTCAGTTTGTCCAGTGTCCCACTGTCAGTTCGCATGTCTGTCTTAATTAATACCTTCCAACTGTGCCAATAAAATGAGCAAGGGCCTGGTCCATGTTGCGGATTCTTGTGCCTGAATGAGTATGTCCAGTGTTGAAGTGAGTGTATGAGACATACGGCGGTGCATCATGGGACATCCTTACGGCACTGGTCAAGTCTTCAAGGTATCGAAGAAAATATGAACTGAAAAACCGTCCATTGAGACAAACCTAAGAAAACACAATAGATATGTTGGTCAATATTTAGTTACAAGTGAACAAACCAACCTGCATATATTCCCTTATTAGAGACATTAAGCCAGGCACATCTCCGGTCAATAAAAACGGGTGAGTGAGGATGTTATTCTTGTAGTTAATAAAAAAAGACGTCCATGGCTTCGCAAATGTAAAATTTAACCATTTCATTTCATTTGGAAACAATTTAGTTCGAATGAGGCTTGAAGTTTGACTCTGATGACCTTATCCATAGCCTGAGCAAGCACAACGAAAAAAAAGACTGTTACCTTATCAGGGTTCTCGAAGTGGTTCGTCTCGTTGTACAGTTTTAAAACTTCACAAGAAAAAAAGGTCAACCCAAAGTTATCAACTTGATGATTGCTGACAATCTTCTTGAAAATGTTCCATCTATAAAATTCAGTTAATCGAATTCTTATGAAAATAGTGAATTCCACGTATTATTTTTTTGCTGCCGCGTGGTTGGTTGGTTGGTGGCTTAGTGGGTTGATTGGTTGGTGTGTTGGTTGCATGGTTGGTGGTTTGGTGTGTTAGTGGGCTGTTGGGTTGGTGTGTTGGATGGTGTGGTGGGTGGAGTGGGTTGGTGGGTTGGTTGGAGGGTTAGTGGGTTGGTGTGTTAGTTGGTGGGTTGGTGTGTTGGTTGATTGGTGGGTTGGTGTATTGGTTGGCGGGTTGGTGGGTTGGTTGATTGGTTGGTGGGTGGGTGGGTTGATTGGATGGTGGGTGGGTTGGTGGGTTGATTGAATGGTGGGTTTGTGGGCTGGTGTGGTCGTTGGTTGGTGGGTTAGTGGGTTGGTGAGTTAATTGGTGGGTTGATTGGATGGTGGGTTGGTGTGGTGATTGGCTGTTGGGTTAGTGGATTGATTGGTTGCTGGGCTGATGTGTTGGTGGGTTTGGGTAAGTGGGTTTAATCAATTAATTTCAATTGTCTGGCCTAATTAGTTGATGTTTGTGGCATTAGCAAATCTCGCCTATGCATTAGTTCCATACCTTTCGGAAGAAGGTTTTGATGAACCTTTCATTCTTATATTGTCAAGAACAGTTCCCCAGCGGTCATACCAACATAAATCCTCTTGGAAGATAGTTTGGTATCCACGTGACTTGAAATGCTTGTACAGCACGCGATGCCCGATCTCAGAGGAAGCCTTTGACGCGCCACTGTTGTCGTTTCTATCTGTTGACAAATATTAGAAATATTTATTAAATATTTATTAAATTCATTAATAATTCATAAGGTAAACTCAATAGAAAATCATTGCCGTGCCATTTGCACACCACTTTAACTTCGCTTCCCCATTACAATGATGTTTTATCTTGAAGTCTTAGCAAAATATACTTAAACTTATGTTGGAACTTGATAAGCATGATATAAAATATTCGAGTCTGACCTTTATGCGCTTTAAAACTGCTCGCTTGCAGTTCGCAGTTTTTTGAAATAGCTGTATACGTCTTTTGATGACAAAGATAGAATTAATCAGTGATAATAATAACCAATAAGATCAATAAATATTAGTTGTCGATGCTGACGCGCTTTGTCTATATGTTTTCAGACAGCTTTATAAGATGATGAAATATTACTCCATTGAAAATTGAAAACCCACAAGTACTTTCGTTCGCGCATTCGATGTTCGCCACGACAACCTCTTATGAAATAGCTGTAGTATACCTTCAACAACACCAGAGAACATCGCACGGACATTCTCAAATGTGTGCGTACTAATGCTTTGGAAAAGTTCAAAGTCCAGTACTGTGGCACGTGTGTCTTGCATGATATTTCTAAGCGCATGGACAGATTGACGAAGCATTCTGTAAAAGTGAGTTCTTGACATAGAATCTAACAAAATAATATTTATATTGACACTAGAAGATTTGCTGATATTTCTTGAAGACGTTTTGACCTTTTTCATACAAAGATGAGGCGGGAAAACCAGAGCTTGAATAAGACTCCCACATCTTATAAAACAGAATGTTTCTCCTTTCGTCAAAGCTGTTTTGACAAACTTTACAGCTTTGTTTGTTGTAAACGGCGATATTTTCGTCCATTGTTGAATGTGACCGTAACGTTGATCTCTATCGCCCATCAATATTTCATTTGTTCCACAATTTTCTGGATTACAAACTAATGTCAGAGCTTTTGCTTTCTCGAATGTGCAAATGTCTTTTTTTGGTGGTTCAGGACAAGTCCTGACAGGAAGAGGTTCTTGGGGACTACCAAAGTACTTATTCGCGTAGTGACAAGAGGATGTATTGATTCTGTAACAAAAAGTTCAATTCTTTTGTCATATTGACCAATCAAATAATAATCAATCCACAGACACAAGACAGACTGACAATTGACTGATCCAGAACGTTACAAAGGGTGTGGCTAACTTAAGGAAGAAAACTTATTTCTTAGTGGAATATCGAGGTATTAAGACGCTCTTATCTACATTGTTGATTGACATGTGTCATTTCTGCACATGATATACTACTTACACGCGTCGTTGACACGATGTGTATTGTTTGCGTTCGTGAACAAAGTACCTTGGTCGCAAGTTTGTGTAATGACAGGGATACAGATCGGGATATAAACCTAGAAACGACCAAAAAAATCAATTTTTAAAAATTGCTACACTGTATCTAAGCAGAGAGTATAAAAACCCTAGTAGTGTTCAGTCACTCGTGGTGGGCAGGTTAATATCCATGTTTGAAATTTTTGGGGAGCGTTACAGAATCTCCCAGGATCACGCCTTGCAATTTCTTTGTCTACCTTGTATTTTTTCAAGTAAACAGCCAGAAATGTAATCAATCAGTCAGTCAGGCAATTAATTCAATGAATCAAGCGATCAATATGTCCTTAAATCAATTAATTTGACCTTTTTTCAAAGGATTAATCACTTTCAATCAATCAATCAGTCAATAAATCAATCTGCCAACCATTCAGTCAGTTAAGAGATCAATCAATCAAYCAATTAAWMAATCAGTCAAGAGATCAATCAATCAACCAATTAATCAATCAATCAGTTAATCTGCCAATCAATCAAAAATCAATCACTTCAGAGATCAATCAATTAATCAATCAGTCAAGAGATCAATCAATAAGTCAATATGCCAATCAATCACTTTTAGAGATCAATCAACTATTTAATCAATCAGTCAAGAGATCAATCAATAAATCTGCCAACCAATCAACCAATCAAGATCAATCAATCAAGATCAATCAATCAAGAGATCAAACAATCAACCAACAATCAATTAGCCAAAAGATCAATCAATCAATACGCCAATCAATCAATCAAAAAGATAAATACTACTCTTACCTGGTCTGCGGAAACTCAGAAATACTATTTCGACATTTGTAAAGTAATAAGTAAACACAAAAAGTGCCAGACTTGATATCAATAAAACCAGAAATGCTCGTCTCTGCAAAGCAATCAAATTACAACTAGTTAGAAGCGAAATGATTGTTAAACGGTATCCGGTCGTTTCGATCCAAAGACGTTTCGATCCAAGTTGTTTCGATCCAACAACCCAAAATTCATAAGTATCAGTTAAACAATACATAAGAGGATTATTANCGTCCGCAATTCTTTTGTGCATGGTCACTGAACCAAAATATCTAAAGTCGTCTATTGTTTACCATTCTAAAGCTATAGGCCATTGTGCGCTCGACAAGTGAAATGAAACTGTTCAAAAAGAAAAAAGGCCATTGTTAGTCTGATATGTAAGGAAAAGTGAAGGTTATCTGACATTTGCAGATTTAATAAGATATGCATTAGAACTCTGAATAACTCTTTACAAATAAACTATAAACTATTGATTATACACTATTTAAAAGATCGAAATTTATAAATATAATTATACACATTACGAA